TCGAGATGGATAACCCGGATCTAACGTTCTTCATAGAGCTATATGGAGAGGTCGGAGGAGTCGCCAGGAATATTAAGAACGAAAAAAAGGGTGAGGGTTTCTTTTATAGTCAATGAATTGCGCGAAACATCAGCCTCACATAATGTGATGAGATTTGCCTAAATATATCAGACATTAGCTATGTGTCAAGGAAATTACCTGGGGTATTTCGCCACAGTAATAACAGTGGTGAATGAAAATGAGCAACGAGAGTCAAATAGCGTCTGACAATCGCCATTGCATTCTGCAGGTACATATTTAGGGTGCTATTTTGGTGGTACCAACTTGAAAATTGGGACTGACGCCTAACCTGCTTTCATTATAGTTTCCAACCCAGGATGTACAGGAAGCTAGTAAACTGCTATAGTCTTGCTATTTCCATTATCAAGTATCAAAAGTCTTGATACAGTCACAATTTTTAAATAATTAAAGGTGTCTACCTATGTCTGACGTATTATCAACTATCCGTGACTACATTCTCTTCTCGTTCACAAACATATCCCCTCTTAATCAACTGTTCTTGAACCGCCATTGGACTGTGCAATCTACCAGGTTGAATCGGATTGGAGCGCAAGAGGATTTGTTTGGTCGAAATAAATGTAACTTACTTTCTTTACTTGAAAATCGTCATATCACATCATAAGTTTTAAGACGAGTTGAAGACTATTACCAAAAACATTGTAGCATAAAATACCTGTTTGGATAACAGCCTGTAACAAACTGCTTTACCAGAAAATAATGTGATCGAATTCGTTATCCTCAAAAATTCCAACTCCGAATTAGCATGTTGATATCACAAGACTAACTAGAATTATAGAGATAAAGAGGATTTGAAAATTAAACTTATGTGTATCTCATAATAAGCGACATTTGACACAGACCCAATTGATTCAATATCATTATTTTTACGAGTTCATCTTCTTTGACACCTTTTTTAGTCAGAAACCATCAAGCTTACTGCTCTGAACCAGAGATTGAATTTATCAAAATCATGGCAGCCATATTTGCCATGAAGACATCTCAGAAATTCTTTTGTTACTGTGTGTTCGATTAATTCGTTCATTTCATTACAGGTGATCTGTCAGACCATGAGTGGAAAGAAAGTGTATGTAAGTAAAGATTTTAATATTGGAATTCAGAAAAGCTAGCAAGGAACTACGTCACGTTTTTGTTGGAAGTTTCAATGAAAATGAATGAGTGAAGTCATTTCAAAAGACAGAATCCAATCAACAATTTACAACCATTTTACCACATACAGCTTGCAACTCATATTATCCAACCACAACAAACAATGTGTGATAAAGAGCAGGAATCTCTGAATCCTTTTGTCCACAGTTCTGCCGCCTTTCTAATTATTAGTAGTACTAACCTTCATTAGATAAACTCAAAATCGGGACCGAGAGTACAGCACTTCCATTATAATGGCTTACCCTGACTGACTGTACGACAGCAAATGAACACTGATATAAATATGTTGATAACAAACCCCAGTTACAATTTTTTCTGTGTCAACGATTCTCCATTCAGCCTTCAATTTGACCGAAATGCATATCTATCTCGAACTAGTTCTTTGCTTCGTCGGAAAATATATGACTGACTCTTGACCGCCACTCATAGTTTCAGCTTTCACTAGTAGGACCTCTTACAAATACAAAAAATACAAAGCTTTGCAATACAGCTTTATTTATTGACTTCGCTTAAAGTAATTTTCACCACATTCAATGCTCTTTTCTATCCATCAAAACTAGTCCTTAAGCTTTAAAGCTCTGCTAAGTTTTACCTGGGAGTGCGGCACACTCGTTGTCATAAGTCGTCAGAAGGCCCTCATCGCTAGGATACCGTTTTGCTTTTAGCTTCATTTTTATATGCGGAAACGGTGCAAAGGATGCTCAACAAGTTCCAGCCCAGTAGTGGTCAAATACAGGTTTTTTATAGACTCGATGACTTTAGGCAGGCACTGTTCCGTGTACCACTTAGCTGTGACTGTTTTATGTGTGTCCCAGATGATAAGCTCCCCAATCCTGTTCGATTTGAAATATACAACTATCATTTGAAGAATTGAATGAGTTGCTGGTGCATGAAGGTGTAAGGTCTCCTCTATCTGTTCGTTTGTGACTCTCCAGTCTTCGTCAAGCATTTACCTCACAGCAGTAATGTTTTCCTCTGTTACTTCCTTCCATCTTAGCGTGAAATTGTCCTTTGAAATTCTCTGAACCACCTGAATATAGTCGTACGGTGAAGACAATCTTTCGTTAATGCGAGCGTCATTTCTTCTAAGCACTGGTCTATGCTTAAACCACGCGTAAAGTTATTCCGTACAACTGCCCTTAATGCACTACGTGACCACGATGCCATATTCTAAATCATCAGACGTGCCGCTGATGTCTACTATGCACTCATGGACATGTCTCAACTTGCAGTAACATGCAGCCTCCTACGTCGATCTGTTAAGTCATATTGCAAAACTTTTATAGTACACTTTGTACTTCGTGTACCGATGCCCGTTGCTTCATTACTTCTTGTTCCAGCAACTGCTACGAATGCTTAAGCCTAGTAGAATTCAACTTTCAGACAACATCTTATGGGAGGTAGTAAGACGAGTACCGCAAGAATGTCGTCAAGAAGCAGCTCTGGTTTTTGATGTGGCTATTGGTGAGTCTCTGGATATTGGATTCGTCGATGAAAAGAAAAACTTCAAGATATCAGAAAAATGCTCTAAACATACTTACGATGCTCTTGATAAGTTCTTCGAGGAACTCCGGCTACTCGAATATTCATTCAGAAGCAGAGAAGAACCGGTTGCAGAGTCCGAACTGTTGAAACTAGTCAACGAGTGGAAAGATCTTGGGGTGAGTTATCGATAAAAACTCTCGGTGACGTAAACTCGCCAAGACGCTGGGGATCCTAGGAATGGTTTTGTATGGATAACCTACCCGAGGTCCACTGCCGCTATTTTCGTTCTAGCTGGAAGCACTACGTTCAAACCATGTACTACTGCGTGCGAACTGCACCTGAAGGTCAACTCTCGAAGGACGTGGAACAGACCACAGACCTAAATCATTGTCTTTCCTACAATTTGAGTTATATTTTATTGTACATGAAAGTGTTAACTCTGATCTTGAGTTTCCATGACAACCTTACATATACATTTATTCATACTTGATTAAATTTGTAGGTGGCGTCTACACTGGCAGGCGGTGCTGAAGTCGTAACTTTTAGTACAAGACGTCCATACACACACCACCACGCCCACTCCACCCGCCAGCCCCGTCGCAAATATACAAAAATACCGCTCATCTCAAATACAGACTTCGACATAAATAGGCTGGTAACTGAAGAACCCATCATAGTAACTCCCCTTAACTTGGGCGATATTGACTCAATTTATGGGAAAAGACCTGAAGGACAGGCAAAAGACGTTCTTCTTGATTCAAAACCTTGGGAGAAGGAACCAGGGGGGGTAGACGAGGAAGCTCCTAGCACTACTCTAGCCCCACCAGCAGAAGCACCCTTACAAGGTAACCAGACTCCCGTCCCCCCGAGTACCGTACAAGAAAAAGAGCCTGCTGCCCCGTCGGTACAAACAGAGGATAAGAATCGTCAATTTGAATGGCCAGATCTGAATGATGGTGGACCAGGAGAAGATATCCTCTGGCCTCACAAACTCATAGGATAACTTCGTTTGTAGTGGTGCTTTCCAGGTAGGAGATGTGTACGGTCAAACAATAGATACATCTGTCAAGCAAATTACGTCAACTGCCTCAAATGGTTGCTAAAATTGAAGAGACTATACATAAAAACAAATTGTAAATATTGTGGTTGAAAACACTAAGATTAGTGTTACATTTAAATTAAGCTGTTTTTGGATTAGATTCAGAAAATTTTAATAAGAGAAATTTCTTCTTGACTTTTACCTTCATCTTTAAGGTTATTTCAAAGCCGACTTTTTTACGGAAATCTCTATTTTTGACGCCGGCAATCAAAAGAGCCGGAAATTTCACGTTCAAATATGTATGGAAGTCCAAGGTCACGGTTTTTTTTTTTTTTATATCGAAACAGCCGCGCAGGCAGAAGCCTAAATGCCGGAACACCGCGGCTGCTATGATGATCCCAAACAAATTTTGTTAATACGATTTTTGAACTGCTTAAGGTTAGTAGAACTGGGAAAAGCTTCCTCCCGTAGTTTGTTCCACAATCTAGACACCCTCGGGACAAAGGAGCGGTCGTATCGGCCAGTTCTGGATGTACGAAGTTTGACACGGTTAGGATGGGACGCCGAAGTCAAGCGGGTCTGTCTGGCAGGCACATCGCGCGGCGGCATCATGGAAGAGAGCTCTGAGGAGCAAAGCCCGTTGGTGTAGCGATAGAAGAGAGCTAGATCGCCGACGGCCCGCCGGTGCGAAAGAGTCCCAAGACTGTCTGTTAGAGAAGAGTCATCGATCAGTCGGACCGCCCTCCTCTGGACACCATCGAGCATGGACAATGTAGTCGGGGCGGCAGCACCCCAAATGTGTGAGCAATACTCGAGGCTAGGCGTTATCTGGGCCTTGTATAGAGTGAGAAGGTCATACGGAGAAAAGTACTTCTTAGCCCTAAACAAATAGCCTAGCTTTTTCCCAGCAGTTGCAGCTATTGAAGAGATGTGTTCGTGCCAGATCAGGTCCTCGGTGATCTGGATCCGACCAGCCGAAATGAATGGCTCTTTGGTAGGACTCGACCGTCCATCGAAACTGTATGAGCGCTAGGACGGTGTCAACTAAAGGTGCTGCTAGGAAATACTCATCGAGTCAACTATCAAGGTCAGGTCTTTAGTAAATTTTAAAGAGATGATCTTGGATTTGATGTTAGTCTTCACCTACAGGGTCATTTCAAGGTCAACTTAATTTTTTTATGGATATCCCTATTTTGATTCTGGCAATCGGATGTGCGGGACATGTTACATTCGAATGTGTATTAAAATTCAAGACCAATATGACCGCTGGAGGTCAAATAGGTTAAATAAAGGTCAAATATATGCTGCTAGGAAAACCTCTAAAAATGTGGCAAAGATCGTGACGCAAATAACTCGTAACGTTAGATCTTTGGTGAATTTTCACAAGAAGCGTCTATTTTGGATTTGACCTTGAACCTCACTCTCGAGGTCATTTCAAGATCCACTCGTTTTCCAAATAGAAACGCCTATTTGATGCCGACAATCGGGAGAGACGGAAATTTTGAGTTCAAATGTGTATTAGAATTTCAGGTCAAGGTGACCACTAGAGGCCAAATGTATGCTGCGAAGAACTACTTCTAGAAATCTCATACGATTAGCTACGAAAATAACCGGCAAAGTCACATCTTCGAGTAAGTTTCAGCGAGGAAACTACGATGCTCATTACAAATGATGCTGTTCCTGCGGGTTTCTATTTGAAAAAAGTTACCTTGAACTGACCTTGAAGGTGGAGTTGTGATTTGTGGATACCTTTTCACAGAATGGATTGAAATTCGCCTGCTAATCAAGAGGAAATCTATTTGGTTTGTGACTATATCATCCGTATCGACTGCCGGTATTGAGCATGAATGCGGCCCTTTGAATGACAGCTTGAAATAGAAAAATGCTGGATCAGACTGACACACCAAAGAATTCCTGACGTTATTCTATCCTTCAGATAAACTCGTCTCTAGACTTTTTGGTAACTGCCACTTACCTCGCAATAAAATTTGCTCTTTGATGTTGCTATGAGTCGGCTCTCCGAAACCTATAACCAACTTATTTTTTGCTCAGACAAGTGTTTTGAATAAACGACCTTGGTTTGTTTCAGGAATGGGAAGAATAAGGTATACTTTTTGTAAATATGTACAATAAATCTGTTTTAGGATTATGTTTCGCATTTTTTATCTTTCCCCATTTTTTTGAGGAAACAACGCATTTCTGCAACATCACCAAGATGATAATCATCGAATGGGTTGAATATCCTATTTTTCATCACTCTAAGTCTAAGAAGCGGTTCATCTCCTGCATGTATCCCCAACCACTAGGCCAGCAGTTCCTGACTCTTACATGTCTATTAGTTCATGCGTTATCTATCCAAACTGTGCACTTTCAGAGACTGCTAATATTTATTCATACTCATATTCATTTGTTTTATTGATGGTAATTTACAAAAAGTAATTTCCACCAGTCAGATACTAGAAACAAAAAACTATATATGTATATCACAATGTATCACGAAAATAAAAAGAAAAAAACAGTAGCGTCAGTTAATGACATCTATCTTAATGAGAGATAATTCTAAAAGTTACATTAAGAGCAGAAAACAACTATATATCACAATAACACATTTACGCTTGCATTGGAAAAAGCACAGAGAACACGTTAAAATGAACATAATGATAAAATATATTGTTCAGAACGATCCACGAGACTGCATGTATGCTGTAAAAACAGTTTGTTTCAACGTTGACCTAAATTTTTCTGTTGTCCATACACCCTTCATGCCTGATGTCAACATATTGTACCGGTTGCAAGCATCATATTTCGGTGATTTTTGTAAGAGACACGAGATATCTTTCTGATTTTGAAGTTATCATTTTGCCCATGTAATTATTTTTAGATGACTGCATCTGAGTTAACAGCTTCAAAAGATAGAGTGAAGTTACAGTCAGTATTTTTTCTTTGTTAATTGCTTCACGGCACGGTTCCAAATACTGAACCCCATAAATAATTCTGGCGAGCCTTTTTAGTAACAGAAAAAGCTCTGTGTATGTTAGCTGACTGTCTCCACACAATGACCTCATAAAGACGGGTTCTCATTAGTCAATCGTATTGATTAATAATAATGAATCTATGCCATTGAACATAGGATTGAATGGTAAATTTGATCACGATGTGCAAATCGATAAAGCAATATGGTTGAACGGATGTTCACATTAGACTATTTCACTTCAGTTGCATAGATTCTTTATTATTGATCAATAAAATTGGCTAATGAGAACGCGGCTTAAGATATCAGTTATTGAACCATTGCGCAGTAAACTTTTAATAGGTTTTCTATATACAGGAATGATTTTGAAGCATATTGATTGCATATAATGATCTCTATATAGTTATTCGCATACTTCATCGATATGTTTGATAGAATTTGATACTTATTAAAATGGACCCCACAAATTTTACGTGGCTATTCGATGACACAGTTATATGATCAATATTGAAATTATATGGAGTTACTAATTATTTCATTAGTATGATTGCGCTTTTTCAATTTCCCGTTTATCTACAATTTTTTTACCAGTTTATATAGTTCTGATATTTGTTGGTCGTTAGGATTTTTTTAATTTTGTTGAGATATTGTTTCTTAAAGATCATCCGAGAAGGTAATCCTTCTATCGGAATTTTGTTTAGGTCGTATTAAGTAGTTTTAGGGAAGCTCACCTCAAAGCTCCAAATAAAAGTGACAAAGAAAAGATCAAGAAATGACTTTAAATGTTTTATCAAATTTCTTCTGAAATTTGATATGGTAGAATCGTTTATCTCTCTATATTCTATCGACTTCAGTGTAGATTGGTCTCAACGTTTAGTAAATTGGATGCAGGATTGCAGGATCAAGATTACAGCAACCTTGAATATGAAACCAAATAGTCAATATTGGAGATGCTTACTTCAAGTCCCTATTGTCTCAATAGCCTGGTAGCAATGTGAACATGTGCGTTAAAGATGTAAAACAGTAATTTCTCATTGATTTTTTTATTTGTCGATATTAAAATCACTGCATAAAATGAGTATGTATCTATTTGTAATGTTTCATTATTGGACATGGTCATTTTCTGGCCTATTTGCATAGTCTTAGATTGCGGACCAGAATATGTGAATCTAAGTGTGGCAGATGAATGCAACGTGAAAAGCATATAAGAGAAGAATGATGAGCAATTGTCGACGCTTCAGGCCACATCTTACAGCAAATGGTACTATTAGCAGCTACGCAGTGGATATTTGGAACAGTGGGCAAGTATGATAGTATAGTATGAACGACTGACCCGGTACTCTGCTTTCTCTTTATCTATTTTCCTTTTGTTTTATCTATACTAATTTAATATTACAGTTTTTGGGTTTGTATGTTGAAGCCACAAAGCGGGAAATAATAAATTGTATCAGTCCGCAACATGTGGCGGTACAAGTGCCGCGTCAAACTCTTTGGAAACGTCCATTGAAGATTCACAAATGCCGTGACTATCGGGAAAGGCACGCTTTGATTCCAACGAGTTATAGGTACATATTCCGTACGTGTGTTTTCTGTGTTCTTGCAGAACACTCCAGAGCCCTACTAAGATTCACGTGCGTTGTGCGTTTAAATACCTGTGAATTTTCAAGGCTCATAGTGTTCGATGTGACATATTGCTGGAATTAATTTTATTCCCGCACGATTATACCTTTTTCATATTTTCCTGCACTGACGTCATCACTACAAGAACCTCTGAAAAGATTTACGAGAAATCTTTCTATGCCAACAGAATATTATTTACAGGAAAGTTTCCAATGTAGACATCGACTCAGCCAGTTATTAAAAGTTTTTATGAGCCCGTTTTCTTTGTTGTCAGCGATAACTTGTAATAAATTATTAATTTTACTAGAAATTTGTTATCGAACATTACCAGTAACAATTCACGCTCGGGTGTTTGTATACATTGAATCAACAATCAAATAAGTCTAACCTTAGCACTATGTCGCTTCGACTGACAGGTATGGAGAGTTTATTGGGGATTATGGCAATTACCTTCATGATACCAGGATGTGAGTATATTCTTTGCATACCACCTACTGCATTTTTCTTCTTATTGGAGTGCAATTCTTAAATCCTAAACGGTACAGGGCTGGTACTATCGTTTGAATAATGCGATCTAATGTCATAGCAATGTATAGAATGCATGCAGGAAAGTGATATATTCAACAATATTTTTAGAAGCTAAAGGCCCTACTAGGATGTCACATTTATTCTATATGCATCGATCAATATTTGAAATTTTCCAATCAAGTTGACTTTCCACTTCCAATGTGCTGACATCAGCTGGAAATAGCTTTGACTGGATATTAGAACATATTTCGAACTGTCCTGTTATCATCCAGAATTCTGTTAATTTCTGAGAAATTTTTCCATAACAATCCCTTTTTACCACCCCTTCGAGAGCTCTGGGAATCAAATCTTTTTGAACTAGTATCGCTGCGTGAGAGGTGTCCATTGACTTTTGCATATTCGAATTTTCACTGTTCGGGTTTTTACTGTTACTTTTACTGTTTTTCAGAAGAAAAACTACTACACTTCCTCAGTGAACTTTTATTAGTTCTAAACAATAACAACACAACTTAACTACCCTTGTCAATCTTTCAAACCTTTCGGACATCTGAATACTCGAAGTTACATCGAGTATACTACTACTAAAGTTCGTAATTTCTTATTTTGTAATTATTCTGTGGCGCTGAAGCCAGTTCCACCTTTGCAGGTACAGCTGCTAACCTGTTCTGCAACTCCATGAATGCTGTGCTCTTCCAAACGCTGATGACGTCAAACAATCGTGCAAAAATGATAGAGCATCTGACAGTATGTCCACATGAAGTTTTGGAAGCAGCAGGACATTTCTTCCTTTCACATCGCGGACTAGAAGTTCCACGTGAAGAAAATCTCCCGCCAATCAGCGTCGACGAGCTGTACGGATGTGGCTCCAATGACTTCAGGGGAAGACCGAGCCCACTTAAACGGGACGATGTTGCACCAAGGCCAATTTTAGATTTGGACACCCAAATGGATGGCGTGGTGATGCGACTCATGAAAACAATACAAAGGTATGTGAGTGCAGTTAACCAAAGATACTTATGATCTCCAGTCCCGTACATTGTCCCTACTCCTTTTCATCTTCAGAATGACATAACAAAACAGTTTTTTAAGTGGTTTCTACAGGGTGACTTTGAAGTTGAGTCATTAATTTTCAGATAATGATTGTAGAAGGAAGATAAACCAAAATATGTTTGTAAAAATAAAAAAAAATAAAAAAAAATTTTTTACCTTGTTTTATAAAGTATCCTCCCGACAAGTATTTCAGTGCGGACCTGTATTTGATCGTGAGGTCCCCTGTGAGGTCTTAAGTCACCTGATTCACGAGCCCGTTGTACTACATTAACAAAGGCACGAGGGGTTGGTTGCACTCGATTGGGAAACCGATCCGCATAAACATGTGCCATTTTTTATTTCGTTTGAGCCACGCAACAGACACTATTCACACGCGACACTGACATTGACTGTATGTATAACTGAACTGAATAAAATAATAAACTGTACACAAACATCGTTCCAAATTCTTTCGCTTTTTTGTTTCCGATGCGATGAACCGGTAAGGCGGATTATATCCGTTGTTGCCAAACACGAGCACATGATATTGAGACAGGGCGGTACTCAAACTTCCAAAGGGCTATAACTTTGTTACTTTAATTTTACCAGAAAAATGGTAAAGGAAAAAAACATTTCTTTTGATCAGATCTACTCACTGTTAAAATAAATGACTCAACTTCGAAGTCACCCTGTATATAGACAATATTCTATTAGGCCAAACTAATTTATATTGTTAGGCCCTTTGTTTTTCTGATCAATCTGTCTTTCTGTACTGGCTCTTTTCCAGATAGCTTAAAAATGGGAAAAGCAACTCCTATACACAAGAAGGGAGAAACTATTAACACAAAAAATTACAGACCGGTGACGTCTCCCTGTTCATTTTCCAAAATTTTCGAATACTGTTTCTTGAGTCGGTTGACGCTGTTCCTTGAAAGAAACGAGGTACTAACATCCAAGCAACATGGTTTCCGTAACGGTAGGTCAATACTAACAGCATCTCA